AGCCTCTGTTTGAAAACCTCCAAAGAAGGAGAATGATAGAGTGAATGTGCATGCAGGTTGAAGAACGGGATAAATGTGGCAAGCTCTGCCCCCAAATTCTCACATTCATTGGAACATAAGCATAGAACATATATACCAGGATCTCTGCTTCTTCTAGGGTTCCTGACTCTGAAGAAAACTCTACACATGTATACTAGTACATGCATAGACATAGGCATGGATCCAGTGCTACTTTATGCTGGTAAAAGGGCTTTCCATGAGTGGAACAGGATTTTCTTGCCTTCCCCCTCCTGCTTCAGACAAAATGCTTCTCCTGGTCATCAGGGGACTCCTGCCAGAACAGCATGACAGGGAGTTGGAGGTCTGCAGCAAGAGAGAGGAAGAATGCTCCCCCCCCCCCTTCTGTTTGTGGAAATCCAAGCCATAAATTGGGGCAGAGCTTCCCACAGTGATGCACTGCCCTCCAGCTTTTCATTCTACCTAAGCTTGTCTGAAAAGTGCTGAAATTTCTATCTTTTAATATTCATATTCCTTGGGTGTGTCATCAGAGACGAAAGACATTTTCACATATGAAACTAAAATGGCTTTTTAGTTTCCCTTTTACTGCCAGCAACCAGTGGGAGTCTGGGGGCAGGAGGGGGGGGGGGCACTGTTGGCAGTGATGCCTCTGTATAAGTCGATGGTGTGACCTCATTTGGTCACCACAACTCAAAAAGGATATAGTATTGGAAAAAGTGCTGAAAAGGGCAACTCGAATGATAAAAGGGTTGGAACACTTTCCCTATGAGGAAAGGTTAAAGCGCTTGGGGCTCTTTAGCTTGGAGAAACGACGACTGAGGGGAGACATGATCGAGGTTTATGAGTTTATGCATGGGATAGAGAAGGTAAAGAAAGAATTTTTCTCCCTTTCTCACAATATAAGAACTCGAGGGCACTCAATGAAGTTGCTGAGCGGTCGGTTTAGAATGGATAAAAGGAAGAACTTCTTCACCCAAGGAGTGATTAACACATGGAATTCACTGCCACAGGAGGTGGTGGCGGCTACCAGCATGGACGGCTTCAAGAGGGAATTAGATAAACACATGGAGCAGAGGTCCATCAGTGGCTATTAGCCACAAGGTATAGATAGGAACTCTCAGTATGGGGTATGTGATGCTTTGTATTCTTGGTGCTGGGGGGGGGCAACAGTGGGAGGGCTTCTAGTGTCCTGGCCCCCACTGGTGGACCTCCTGTTGGCCCCTGGTATTTTTGGCCGCTGTGTGACAGAGTGTTGGGCTGGATGGGCCATAGGCCTGATCCAACATTGGCTTCTCTTCTGTTCTTATGTTCAGGACAGGGATCTGTTGAGAATGGATGAAAGGGTGTCAGCATGGCAAATGAGGTTCATCGTGGGCAAGTGCAAAGTAATAAACATTGGAGCCAAAAATCTTAACTATAAATATACGTTGATGGGGTCTGAACTGGCAGTAACTGACCAGGAGAGATATCTTTGAGTCATGGTAGATAACTCACTGAAAATGTTGACTCAGTGTATGAATGCAATTTTAAAAAGCGAATGCTATGCTGGAGATTATTAGGAAGGGGATTGAAAACAAATCAGCCGGTATCATAATGCCTCTGTATAAATCTATGATGTGGCCTCATGCGGAATATTGTGTACAGTTCTGGTCACTGTACCTCAAAAAAAGATATTATAGCATTGGAAAAGGTGCTGAAAAGGGCAACTGAAAGGTTTAAGGGGACGGAACACCTTCCCTACAAAAAAAGTTAAAGAAGTTAGGGTTCTTTAGCCTGGAAAAATGATGATTGAGGGGTGACATGATAGAGGTTTACAAAATTATGCACAGGATAGAGAAGGCAGAGAAAGAAGTACTTTTCTTCCTTTCTCACAATACAAAAACTCATGGGCATTCAATGAAATTAATTAACAGTAAGCTTAGAACAGAGAAAAGGAAGTACTTCTTCTCCCAAAGAGTAATTAACACATGGAATTCACTGCCGCAGGAAGTGGTGGTAGCTACAAGCATAGACAGCTTCAAGAGGAGATTGGATAAACGTATGGAGCAGAGGTCCTTGAGTGGCTATTGGCCACAAGGTATAGGTGGAACACTATGACTGGGGCAGTGATTCTCTTTATTCTTGTTGCTCGGGTGGGGGCAACAGTGGGAGGGTTTCTGGAGTTCTCGCCTTGCTGATGGACCTTCTGATGGCACCTGGGTTTTGGCCACTGTGTGACACAGACTGTTGGACTGCATGAACCAGTGACCTGATGGGATGTGGCTTCTCTTATGTTCTTTCATAACATCCTAGAAGTGACATCAGTTTTACCAGTTTTGCCATAGAACAGTTCTGAGAGCAGACTGACATTGCTTCTGGGTTTTCCACAAAAATGATGTAATGCCATCAAACCAACGGTAATTTTTAATTTTTTTCCTCTCGTTGGCCACCAGGAAACAAGAACTAGAGGAGGGGTGTCCCCTATCCCAACCTAGAACCTGGCATCCCTATGTACTACCCACACACATGTGATTGATTAGTTAGGGTAGAAAGTGGAAGAGAGGCCCTCTTTAAATCAAATTTACATTCTAGCCAATATACATCTTGTTGGAACATTACTGGCCTTGGAAATGTAAAACACCCTTCCAGCCTAATGTGTGAAAAATGCACTTAGCATAAATATCAGTGTAGCTGCTTTTAGATCACTCTGGGCGCTTTTTTCTTTTGAAGTTCCCACTGTGCTCATGAAAAGGTGACATTTAAAATTTGAATAAATTAACATAAACAAAGGAGAGGGAGGAATTGAAATAATGCTTCAAACCCTAGTGAGGACTTAAATGGATGAATATAACGGGAAATTGTTCTGATTGTAGGAGAAAGACGTCCAGGTCGTTTAGCTTATTAATACTTCTTTAACAGAGACTTAAATAGATTCATTTCCCCCCCTAAACTCAAGTACAAAAATATCCACTTCCAAAGGGGAAAGATAAATTGGCAATATCAGTTGTGAATAATATGGTGTGTTTAGTTTGGTTTCTTTTCCTGAGTTCCTTTTCAAGAAAGGGGGGGAGAGAGAGAGAGAGAGAGAGTTGTTGTTGTTGTTCAGTCGCACAGTCGAGTCCGACTCTTTGCAACCCCACGGACCAGATCCTTTTCCTATGCTAAACCAATTAGTTGTTCCATATCCGATTCTAACTGTCACTTCTTGACCCTTATACAGGTTTCTCAAGAGACATGTGAGGTGGTCTGGTACTCCCATCTCTTTAAGGACCTGCCATAGTTTGTCGTGATCCACACAGTCAAAGGCTTTAGCATAGTCAATGAAGCAGAAGTAGATGTTTTTCTGGTACTCTCTTCCCTTCTCCATAATCCAGCGAATGTTGGCAATTTGATCCCTAGTTCCTCTACCTCTTCGAAACCCAGCTTGTACTTCTGGCAGTTCTCTATCCACGTACTGTTGAAGCCTAGCCTGTAGGATCTTGAGCATGACCTTGCTAGCGTGCAGAGTACTTTTTTCCCAATAGTTGGTTTGACTTTTTAATTGTGTTTATTTCTCTCCCAAGGAGTCTTCTATTTTTCTCTCAAATGCAACTATGTAATGGCTGTAGTCAGATGCCACCCTATTCCAGTTTGTTATGCTTTTGCTGCAAGCAGACGTGCTTGAAACTGAGGCGGTTGTTTCCCATAACAGGGAAGTCTGCTTGTCTACAGCCTTGCTCATCTACAGTTTCATGCTGTTGGCTCTGTTTGTGAAACCATTGTACGTACACACAAGTTTCCTAGTGAAGTCAGTAGCAGCTCCCTGTGGTGGTCTGAGGAAGCAAAAAAACCAACATGGTGTGGGGGAGGCTGAAACCAGGTCTACCCAGGTAGATTCAAGGAAAAAGGGAGCACAGGCCTAAGTCTGGGAAGCACAGAATGTCAGATGCAAAATCGTCTTTTTTTCTACCAACGAACACAAGGGCTTTGTAATGGATCCAGCTTCAGTGTCTGTTGGAGGATGTGCTGGAGAAAAGAGGGATCCTTGCGGTAGGACTGAAGGGATATATAAGTGAGCTGAGAGGGAACCGATGAGAAAGAGCTGCAGATGGAACCGTATAAATAAGGAACTTGGAAATATGACTTGTGATCCTGGATAAATATGGCTCAGGCTGCAAACATATTCCAACAATCTTGTTGACTTCTTAATGAATGGCGTGGAAAGTGTTGGTAGAGTAAAACAAATGGCACGTTTACAGGTGAGAAACAAACATATGTAACCATTTAGAATGTAATCTGACCACTAGAGGTCTCAGTGGTACCCACTGACCTTGAAAAGGAAGAGGCTTGCACAAAGCATGGGGCTTTACGTATCAGGACAAAACTGTGCCCGGGATGGCAGGCAATCAACGTATAAAGTGTGTCAGTCAATTTTTGTATATATTTATACTGATTTACAGTATTGTTTTGAACAAACAGCTGGATTGGATGATACTCCACTTTAATTCTCTCCACTTTAATGTTTTCCCCTCAAATGGCTGTGGCCCCGCACCCAGCGTGCCCGGCGTCATCACGTCACATCCGGCTGAAGACGCCGTCCGGGAGGGGCCCCCCCCCGCAGAAGAAAATAGACTTGGCAACCCTACACTCTATACTTTCTAAAATATTCTGCTGTGATCCAGAGGGTTTTGTAAAACACACTTTCTTTGATTACGAAAGATTCTTCCTTGATCCATGGAAAACAGAAAAAGCAAATGATTAGGCACTGATGCTCATTTTCACTAATAAATGTCTTCTTTTTAATTTCCTGGCATCTTGGAAATACAGGAAAAACGGCTGTCAGGGCCTATCAAGAATTGATTTATTGTCTCCTTTCTTATTTCTGACACGAGCAAGAAAAAAACTTTTTTTTGCAATTTTCTCCCAAAGTTAGCATACCAAAATGAACAAGAGGCAACCCCTACTCATAATTCTCTCCACTTTCATGACAGCAGTTCATGAATTCTTTCCTTGTCTCTTATCAGTACTCTACCTGGAAGGATCTCTTCTTGTGTTTGGGGACATCTTCAAACTGGTCGCATTCTACTGTGTCAGTAGGTAAGTTGAACTCTTGTTTTCAGTAATGGTGCTGATTTAAATACATTTGTAGAGTGGGTGAAGGCATTGGTCAGCTGAAGCTATCAAATACTGTATCCAAAGACGGCCAAGGGCTTCCAGTTCACGTACTGTATCAATGTTGTCCAGGAGGTCCTGGCAGAGCAACAAGACTTTATCTGCAAAAAAAGCTTGCAAAAGCCTCACAGCTAATGGCCAAATTCCTAACATTTTGGGTTCTCTCGGTGAGAGAAGTTAGAGATCTAATTACCCTAAACAGTTGTTGCTGGGCGAGAGCTAGTAGATCCGATGGAGGCTGTATAAAATTCCTTTTTAGCAGCCTTCACCACCACCTTGTAGGATTTCATAAACATCTTATAAGATATTCTTGCAGCTTCATCACAAAGATTTTAAAGATTGCCCATTACTCCAGAATATAAAGAGATACCTTTTATTTCAGGGTCAAATGAAAGGAGGATCCATGTGTGTTTCTCCTTCTGTGTAATAGGGTAGAGGATCTATTTTTAACAGGGAGAAAAAAATGGCACTTGTGGATATCTGGCATGTTTAATTTCCATACATGCAGCAAAAAAGGGGTTTATTTATAGATTTTAAAAGAAGTCCTGTGAATAATTATGTGCCTACTGAAATCAAACATTCTGACTGGCCCTGGGGAACTTGAGGTAACTAAAACTGCCTTTGAAGGAGAATTTGAAGGAGAACCTTGGCTAAGGGAAAGACTATGTGAACATTTTTGGCTCCCATAAAGCAAAGCACTAGCTAAGGGCAGGGGGAGGCCACAATGATTTCATCTGTTAGCTGTTCTGGGATCTGCCAAGGCAGGCAGTTTTGATTCAGCACTCATGCTAGTCATGTGAAAGAATGACTTCCTACAGTGCAGGGAAGCTACAGCCAAATTTCTCTGAATCTGGAATGCTAACTGAAACCTGCCGGTTCCTGGCTGGCCTGCTGGAAGCTTTTTGCAGGGGATAAAGAGAAATAGGCAGCGTACGCTGTTGGCCCTCAAAACACTTTGGTGGTGTTATCTTTCTGCAAATAGTCTAGCCTAGAGCAGGTGCTCCCAACCTCCTGAGGCTACGTGAATATGCATGCCAAGCCTCCCGTGATCCCATTTCTCACCTTCTGTCTACCAAGAGTCACTGTTCCAGAGATTGGCTGCAATATCGAAAACATTTGCTGAGAACACATGAGATCTAGCTCAGATTAAAACTAGAATCAAGGAGGTTCACAGTTACTGGTTTTGTTTGCATCCTGGCCTTACTTTAAAGAGCTCAAGATGGTGCACTGTGTGTACATATTGTGTGTGTGTGTGTGTGTGGTGTGTGTGTTTCATTTGATCCTTAAAGCAACCTCGTGAGATAGCCGAAACAACACAGTGTCTTGTGGCATTTTAAGTACTACTGATCAAGTTTACTAAACGGATGCATGCTTCTTCGAATTCATAAAATGTTAAATTTAATTGCCTTTCAGCATTGTCTGCTTGTGAGGTAGGTGCAGTCAAGAGTATGTGATGAGCCTAAGGTCACCCAGCTTGCTCTATGGCTGAGCAGGAATTCAAATTCAGGTCTCCCTCTATTCCAAATCTAATATTCTGTTTACTACATCACAAGTAAAGATGATCTTAACTATGTTTAACATCAGGGCACATGCATCCTTCAAAGCATATTTCACTGTAATCTTCTTCGTGGTCTCTGTGCATCACACCCTTGGGAATACTGCGCCTGCGCTGAACCTTCTCGGTACCGGTAGCTAGCAAAAGGGATTTTCGCGCCTCTCCAAGGTCACGCGCCGGCTCCACTGCGCATGACCAAGGAGGGGCACGCAGATCCCGCCAGTTCTCTTCTGACCGCCGCGCTGGTAGGACGCCTTCTGCCTCGGTCTGCTAAGTACCAAACTTTTTTTGCTAAACTTGCGTTTAGTTAGTTTCTCTTTCTTTATTTTTGTAGTTAGCATTTTTCTTTCGGTGTTTGTTCTTTATTTACGTTCACCTCCCGCTGGCCTATGGCCCCGCGGTGGGGTTGTTTCAAACGGTGTAGGACTTGCGGCCTTAAAATATCCCCCACCGACGGGCACTCGCTTTGCCTCGTTTGCTTAGGGGAGTCGCACTGTGTCTCTAAGTGCAGACATTGCCAAAAGTTTTCGAACCAGACGAGAAAAAAAACAGGGCAGCTCGTCTACACTTGGCCCTGATGGAGAAGGCACTATCTCCACAGTCCTCTTCACCGTTGAACACGTCCGGGCACGCCTCGATGTCCACCTTGGCTGCGGACACTTGTCCTCCCGTTTCGGGACCATCGACGTCGACGGTCGCAATCGATGCTTCGGCACCGAAACGATCGACGCCGATAAAGGACCACCCCGTACCTTCCAAGATCCGGAAGCAGGGCAAAGACTCACAGCAGTCGAAGAAACCTAAAACGGACAAACCCAAAGTCCATAAGGTTTCGGCTAGTCAGGGTCGAGATCCCACGCAAGAACCTCACCCGATCGGTTCGGATCTCGACATCGACCTTACTCAACAGACAAATCAGTCGCAATCTGATATGTCGAGCCGTCAATCCTCTCATGCCTCCCCAGAACGTGGAGTCGAGGATCGGCACCGACCAACTTCTCCTCCCCTGACTTGGGATGAGAGGCAATGGCATTATTTGTACGGGAATCGATACCCATACCCTTGGGCACTCCCGATACCACCCCCACCTGAATGGGATCGTCAGTCGGTGTCATCCCGCATTTCGCGCTTTCAAGATCGACCATCGGTATCGAAGCAGTCGATACCGACGCATCCACCAGACCCGGTTGTGCCCCCGATTAACACACCGGCACCGTCTCAACCTGAATTACTCGAATCATCTCCAGAACCATCCAATGTATCCTCCGATTCAGATGGCTTTTCTGAACATATCGAGGATGTAGATGCACAGCCCACCTCGCAAGATGTGGAAGCGGATTTACCTATTTCTCCATCAGAGGATGTTAAGTCTTATGGAGATTTTATTCAACGCATGGCATTAGATCTATCTATGACTCCTACTCTCGTTGCCAGTTTTGTGGATGATAACGTTTTTGACATTATGCACTCTAACACTTCGCCCTCCGTGGCTCTACCAATGACAAAAGTTCTCTTGCAAACTACCAAGGACTTTTGGACTCGTCCAGCCTCCATTAATGTCTCTAATAAGCGTCTGGATCACATGTACAAGGTCCAGGAATCAGGGGCTGAGTTTTTATACACACACCCAAAGCCCAATTCTTTGGTCGTCTCCTCATCCACAAAAGGAAAAGCGAGTCACTCTACTCCCTCAGAAAAAGAAGGGAAAAAGTTGGATTCGGTTGGTAGAAAATTCTACACTGTCGGTGCAATGGGCATTAAAACGGCGAACTATGCCGCCTGCATGGGCCGTTATCAATTCAATTTATGGAAGCGTTTGAATGATTTCCTCCCGCACGTGCCCAAAGAGTGCCAACCTCAGATTAAAAGGATTCAGAATGAAGGGATGGTCTTGGCTAGACACCAAATTAGTGCTGCCAAGCATTCCCTGGAATCCGCTAGTAAGACTCTAGCAACCTCTGTAGCGTTACGCAGACATGCCTGGCTCCGCTCTTCATCATTGCCATATGACACCAGATCCTCGGTGGAAGACCTTCCCTTTGAAGGTTCTGGATTGTTTAGCTCCACCACTGACACGGTTCTGCAGGAAATGGATAAGAGTATCAAGACGTCCAAGAGTTTGGGGATCTCCCCCACGACCAAATACTCGAAATCCAAGCAGTGGCCTAGGCAACCTTGGTCGACCAGGCAACCGTACAACAAATCACCTACGGATCAATGGCAAAGACCTCCCTCCTCTCAGTCACGGTCTTTTCCCCCGAAAAATAAGGGACAATCGTCCGGTGCCTATAAGTCGAAATTCCCTAAGAATCCCAAACAGGGACTTTGACTTCAACCTTACTGCTCAGACTCGCCTTGCACCCTTCCTGCACGCATGGCTCGCCATTTCTACGGACAAATGGGTGCACTCTATAATAAGAGATGGCTATCTCATAGAGTTTTCTCTGACTCCCAGAATCTCCCGTTTCATCAGAACCCCGGCGTCTCCTGCCCTGCTACAGGAGGTACAATCGCTGACACAAAAAAACGCTATAGAGAAAGTCCCGATGGCGGATTGTTGCCGCGGGATTTATTCCAAATATTTCACAGTCCCCAAGAAGGACGGAGGACTTCGTCCAATCATGGACCTCCGTTTTCTCAATCGGTTCATCATTTACAGAAAGTTTCGCATGACCACGTTGCAAAGCATTTTACCACTCCTGTCTCCAGGGACTTGGATGGTCACTTTAGATCTCAAAGACGCTTATTTTCACGTCTCCATCCATCCTCGTCACAGAAAGTTCCTCAGATTCGCAGTCGGGGAGGACCATTACCAATTCAAAGCCCTTCCATTCGGGCTCTCTACCGCCCCCAGGGTTTTTACGAAGGTAATGGTGGTTGTCGTCGCTCATCTTCGCCTTCAGGGCATTCAGATCTTTCCGTATATAGACGACTGGTTGATGGTGGCAGATTCAAGAGAATGTCTCCTTCAGCACATCACCATCACATTGTCGGTCCTATCCTCCCTTGGAATTCTGGTGAATTTACAGAAATCCATGCTGCAACCTGCAACTCGCGTGCAGTTCATAGGAGCTGTCATAGACTCCCTAGCCACTCGGGCGTACCTTCCTCGCCAACGGGCAGATACCATTCGTCTGGAAATTCAACGTTTGTTCCAGTCCAACGTGACATCAGCGGTCCACATTCAGCGGACCTTGGGTCTCATGGCAGCCACCACTTCCGTGATCGAATATGCACGCCTTCGCATGCGCCCGTTGCAGCTGTGGTTTCTAAAGAAATTTCGCCCTTCCATCCATCCTCCGAGCCTTCAACTGGTAGTGCCTCCGCAGGTCCTCGTCTCCCTGCAGTGGTGGCTCGTGGACACCAATCTGTTGGCGGGTGCACCGTTCCAACCGATCGTTCCCGTAATGTCCATCACCACAGATGCCTCCCTGTGGGGTTGGGGTGCTCATACAGACGACACTTGTGTGGGTGCTCCATGGCAACCCCTTTGGAAGAGTCATCATATCAACTATCTGGAACTGCTGGCCGTAAAGTTTGCCCTAAGATCCCTACTCAGACAGGTTGTAGGGAAGGATGTGTTGATTTTTACGGACAACACAACTGCGATGGCTTATATCAATCGCCAGGGCGGGACCGTGTCCAGGTCCCTTTGCAGGCTAGCTATGGACATATGGGAAGAGTGCCTTCATTGGAACATCACTCTCCAAGCTGCCCATCTGCCAGGAACTTTGAACCAACAAGCGGATTTCCTGAGCAGAGGGGGAGCATCGGACCACGAATGGGAGTTGAACTCAAAGTATCTCCTTCCTCTTTTTCAACATCTGGGACATCCCCACATCGATGTTTTTGCAACTCGATTGAACAAGAAGTGTCCCAGGTTTTGCTCCAGAGCGGGGTTGGACCCTCTGTCAATGGGGGACGGTCTGTTGATGTCGTGGGCTCACGACTTTCTATACCTATTTCCTCCGATTCCGCTGCTCCACAGGGTGCTTGTGAAAATACAACAGGACAAGCCCCATTGTCTCCTGGTAGCCCCCTGGTGGCCTCGGCAGGTGTGGTTTCCGACACTGCTGCGGTTAGCCAAGGGATCCTTCGTACACTTCCCGCAGGAGTTGGATCTCCTCCAAGCTCAGGAAGGCCAGGTCCTTCACTACGATCCTCTGAGTCTCAAGTTGACTCTATGGGAAATACGCTTTCAGTGATGGATGACCGTATCAATGAGGTCCTGTTGAATTGTCGTAAACTGTCTACTAGGACGTCTTACGCAAAGAAGTGGGATTTATTCCTACAGTACTTGAGTTCTTCCAATTTACCTCCTCCGCCAGTGGATTTGAGGTCTATTTTTGCGTTTATTTTGTCCAGAATGGACTTGGGACTCAGTTTTTCTTCAGTTAAGGTGTATTTAGCTGCGGTGTCAGCTTTTCATCCATCTATTGATGGGTTTTCAGTTTTCTCGCATCCTCAGACGAAACAGTTTTGTAAAGGTCTTATTCGCCTGTACCCTCCTCGTCGTCTTCCGACTCCGGCCTGGGATTTGGCTTTAGTTTTGCGGTTTTTGATGGGAAAACCCTTCGAACCACTGGCCACTTGCTCTCTAAAGTTGTTATCGCTCAAGACTGCGTTTCTGGTGGCCATTACTTCTGCTCGTCGAGTCAGTGAGTTGTCCGCTTTAAGGTGTGATCCACCATACTTGATTTTTTCCCCTCATGGGGTGTCGTTGTCTTTGGACATCTCCTTCTTACCGAAAGTCGTTTCGGAGTTTCATCTACGTTCAGATATAGTTTTGCCGTCATTTTTCCCGTCTCCTGCCAATGAAGAGGAACGGAAATTGCACTCTCTGGATGTTAAGAGAGCGTTGCTATTTTATTTGGGCAGAACTAAGTCTTTTCGCCAGTCTCCAGCTTTGTTTGTGGCTCACAGTATGCCCGCACAAGGCAAGAAGATCTTTTCCCAGACTCTGTCTAGATGGATCGTGGAAGTGATCAAACTGTGTTACGCTTTGGCTAAGAAACCTCTTCCAGGTCAGCTTCGCGCCCACTCTACAAGGGCGGTAGCGGCTTTTACAGCTTTCATGAGAGGGATGCCATGAGGGATGCCATTGGAGGACATCTGCAACGCTGCGACTTGGGCTACTCCGCTCACCTTCGTGAAGCATTATGCCCTGGATGTCCGGTCTACTCGTCGTGTGGCGTTGGGTCGGTCTATCTTGCAGACGGCGCAGGTGTAGGGCCTCGGCCCCTCCTCCAGGTAAGAGTTATTGCTTGCTATTCTCCCAAGGGTGTGATGCACAGAGACCACGAAGAAGATAGACAGGTTGCTTACCTGTAACTGGTGATCTTCGAGTGGTCATCTGTGCATTCACACCACCCGCCCTCCTTCCCCTCTGCTCTCGGCCCTTCATCTTGTTTCTTTGAAGGCTGTTGGGCGGCGGTCAGAAGGAACTGGCGGGATCTGCGTGCCCCTCCTTGGTCATGCGCAGTGGAGCCGGCGCGTGACCTGGGAGAGGCGCGAAAATCCCTTTTGCTAGCTACCGGTACCGAGAAGGTTCAGCGCAGGCGCAGTATTCCCAAGGGTGTGAATGCACAGATGACCACTCGAAGATCACCAGTTACAGGTAAGCAACCTGTCTTTTCCAATTATCTGTTAATGATGCCATGATTTGACACTTAATGGAGCATATGGAGCAGAGGTCCATCAGTGGCTATTAGCCACAAGGTATAGATAGGGACTCTGGGGCAAGTGATGCTCTGTCATCTTGGTGCTTGGGGGGGGGGGGGTTCAACAGTGGGATGGCTTCTAATGTCCTGGCCCCACTGGTGGACCTCCTGATGGCACCTGGTATTTCTGGCCACTGTGTGATACAGAGTGTTGGACCGGATGGGCCTTTGGCCTGATCCAACATTGGCATCTCTTATGTTCTTAAAACTGGCAGCCTTCAGAAACCCAGTGACAGACCATTTCAGTCTTCCTGAGTATTCTGCTGCTGGCCTAAGGAAAAATTCTGAACTTGGGAAGGGTCAGACACCTTGCTTAGCCTCTACAGGTGTTAAATTGCTAAGTAGTTTGTGTTATTACCACCGTCACAGGTGTTGTGACATGTTACTCTGCTTATCCCGTATATTTATTCTTCCATAGAAATGTCACAAACTATACCTGTGTTGCATTTTATAGCCTTTTAGCCCACTCTTTGCAGTTTTCCTCCTTTGCTATATATCTGTTTCAGCACACTGAGTGCAGTACTTTTTATTTATTTATTTGTTCAACTTATATCCCGTCCTTCCCACAAGCAGGCTCAGGGCAAGTAACAACAACAGGACACATCCAACAATTAAAACAAGTTATATGAACAATAATAGTTAAAAACAGGTAAAATGAGAAAATATCGGTCTAGTTAGCAGCAGTTCATGGATCTCGCAACATTAAAAAACAAGCAACAGAAACAGGAAACCCACCAGCGAAAGGTGCAATGGCATGTCTTTTACATGGACAGATTTCATAGGGGAGGTTCTCAGCAGGGGAGGCCAAATACATTTGATCAGGGGTTTTTTTGTAGAAAAAGCCCAGCAGGAACTCATTAGCATAATAGGTCACACCCAACAGCAGAAACTCATTATCATATTAGGCCACAACCCTGACAGCACAGCTCATTGGCACATTAGGCCACACCCACATGTTACCAGAAGTGCGGTCATCCAGCCACACCCACCTTTTGCTCATTCTGTTTACCTTGTTTGTTGTCAAAACCCAGGGCTTTTTTTGTAGCAGGAACTCCTTTGCATGTTAGGCCACACACGCCTACTGTAGCCAATCCTAATGAGTTTCTGCTGTTGGGTGTGGCCTATTATGCTGATGAGTTCCTGCTGGGTGTGGCCAACTCAGGAGCCAGCCGGAACTCCGTTCCTGTGCGTTCCTGCCCAAAAATAGCCCTGCATTTGATAAAGTGGGCTCCAGGAAAATGTCAATAAATCTTTAACCTAGGGCAAAGTTCTTATCTTTTTCTTTCCCCGCTCAGAAATTCTTGGGAGGCAGTTCCACAGCTTGGGGATGGGCTTGCCAACGGCTTGGAGGGGGGGAAAGCCTTGTCCCTTCAATAGAGGTTTCATGTGTAGAAATGGGCAGCGGAAGTCTTTCATGGCCTGGAGGAAAATAACATCAAGCCGTAAATAATATCCAATTAAGCCTCCATTAAAGGTATAGGACGTTTTTTCTCTTTCTATGCAGTTGGCAAACCTACTTGGGGACGTGGTTTTGATCAGGAAAACAGCACTGAGGGAATGAGTTAATCCAGGGTTGTCTAACACAAGGCCCGGGGGCCAGAACTGGCCCATCCAGGTCTCTTACGAAGTCCATGAGCAACTAGTGCAAGGAAGGGAACAGGAGACTGCTGGGGGGGGGAGTGGGCGGACCCACTCCGATTGTGGCTTCAGCATGGCAGAACAACCTCGTCTGCAGCAATCAAGTAGCGTGGGAGTGGTCTGCCCAGTGCTGCACAGCTGGCTCTCCAGTTGGCCCATATGGGTTTTCTTTCCCCTCAGCCTGTGGGGCCTTGCAGTGAGGATACACCAACTCGGAACTTACCAGCTGCTGTCCTTCATATAGTTTATAACTCCAGTACCTGGCATTACGTTTATGCCACACATGGCCCAGCCCTACAAAGTGACGTTTATGTCAGATCCTGCCCTCGTAACAAATGGGCTCAAAGCCTCTGAGTTAATCCTCTCCTTTTCCCACCATCACAGCCCCAATCTGAACTGGACCCCTCAAAATGGTGTTTTAGGGTCAAAAAAACCCCAGCTGCTTCCATCTCTTAGGGAGGTTAAGATGGTTTCATCTTGTACTTGGTCTTTTTCAGAGGCAGCCCCAGTCCTTTGGAATGAATTGCACAGAGAACAGCGGGAGGAGTAATCTCTGTTGAATGAACTTCAGGGGGGAAGAAAAAGGGTCTTTGGAAACTGAGCTACGGCTGTGCTGATTGTTTGGATCTATTGCCATTGGTTTTAACATTTATGGGACTCTCTGTATCTCCAGTGTATTATGTAGTCTGGCCCTTAATTTGATGTGCTAAATTCTGGGAAACAAACAAACTGTACAATTCTTTTCAGCCAAACCACTTGCTGCTGTATTTTTTTTTTCTGCCAGAGATGTGCTTCCCTTCACTCTAAGACTGCCTCAAGCAATATTGGAAGCCAGAAGTTTGACAGACCTGGAAACCATCTCCAGTCTAGGAACGGGTAAGTTATGCTGGGAAGATTGTCTCACATACTCGGAGCAACTTCTTACCTACTCAGCAGCTTTATAATTTATGCATCTTGCCTCAAAGCATGAATGTGTTCCTGGCTGCCACTAGCAATCTGCCTTTCCCCCAATTCAAGACTGCTTCAGCATATGTCAAGGAGGAACTTCCACAGCCCAGCGCGAAGGTTAGGCCTTTCCTTGTGTTCTGCTACAGTGTTCTCCACAAGTATGAAGCATATTTCAAGGGCAATAAATACTTGTAATGTTCGTGTATGTACATATGATGTGTGCTGGGTCTCTATATTCCTTGTCTGTTTCTGTTTGCTTTAAACAAAACTGGTATTGTCAGGCTAAGAACAGATGGTGCGAGCCAGAAGTCTCTGCTTCAGATTTTAGTTTAGGTACGATGATTTTGCTGTGTTGTCACAATCTATAGCCCTTCCTTTGTAATTGTGGGATAATAAAACTATTTTACCATACGTGATTACTGAAGTAACATCCACAAAGGTCTTTGAGCACTTGGAAATTCTTTCTCATTTGTGTAGTGCCTTCCTTTTAAAAAAGGCCAGTTAAAGACTGAAATCTGCTGGATTGTTTCTAACTTCTTGACAAAATTTAATCAATTCAGAGAAGGTGTGGGAGGGTGAGGGTGGCAGGCAGTGCAGTCAAGTTTCCTTTTCCGAAAGGAAACATTTTATAACCTACGCTTATTTATTGTCAATTTCCACTTCCTCCAAAATCATGCAGACTTTAGGAAGAGGAATTCCCCGGTTTGAAACTAAACTTTCCAGGAATATATGCAGGGTCCTAAAATCCTGCTTCTATCTTTCTGTTAGTATTTGTGGCTATTCTGATTCGTTTCAAGACCCTTTTCAGATTTTGTGGCTTGATTAGAAACAGAAAAATAATAGAACAGTATCTGGGTGTAGTAAAGGAGGTATTGTGATTAGGGATGGGCACAAACCTAATTCCATCACGAACGTGGCCGGTTCATGGTTCGTGAGGCCTTGGTTCACGAGATTGCATCACTCACGAACCGCCCATGAACTGCCATGTTTATCATGGAGGTTCATTAGGTTCATGACGGCGGTTCGTGAACCAGATATGCTGGCACCAATCAATTAATTGTCAAAACAGTGGGGGGTGAACTTGGCATCACCAGCTGCCCATCAACTTGATTTTCCAACTTGCCATCCCCCTCCTGCGCTATACCTCCCCCCCCCTTTGCACTTTGGACCCTAAGATCCTTGACTTCTGCGCCACTGGGCACCTCCCCCATCAGGCTTGGCATCATCATCAGCCCTTGCTGTACCTGCCCATTGACTTGGTTTTCCAACTTGCCACCCCCCTGCGCTAGCCCCCCCCCCACCCTTGTAGAGGGCCATCCTGAAAAAGTCTGCTGCAAGTTTGATGTCTCTAGCTTGCAGGGGGCCCGTCGAAATCGACACACTCCTGAACTTGTGGCTGCTGTGTTTTCCCCAGAGAGCACTTTCCTGGGGGCACCTGCTTTGGGAGGCTGCTACTCTGCCACCCCCCAAAGCCAGTCTGCACACAACTTGGAGGGCAGGTAGAGGGGCTTCCCAGGGAGTTTGATGCTTCTAACTTGCAGGGGGACTGTCTGACACACTCCTGAACCTGTGGCTGTGATTTCCCCAGAGAGCACTTTCCTGGGGGCACCTGCTTTGGGGGGCTGTAACTTGCCCCCCCCCCCAAAATCCTCACCAAACTTGGAAGGCAGGTAGAGAAGAGGAGGAGGAGGAGGAGGAGATTGGATTTATACCCCGCCCTTAACTATCCAAAGGAGTCTCAGAGCGGTTTACAATCCCCTTCCCCTCCTCTCTCCACAACAGACACCTTGTGAGGTAGGTGGGGCTGACAGACCTTTCTCAAGAACTGCCCTTGAGAGAACAGCTCTCAAAGAGCTTATGACTGACCCAAGGTCACACCAGCAGCTGCATGTGGAGGAGTGGGGAATCAAACCTGGTTCTTCCAGATTAGAGTCCGCACTCTTAACCACTACACCAAACTGGAGAGTCAGCTGGAGATTCGCTGCAAGTTTGGCATCTCTGGCCCACGGGGGCACTCTACTGCATCACGAACCTCACGAAATGAACCGTCATGAACCATGAACTGGGATGAACCTCCATTTTCCAGTTCATGCTCATCCCTAATTCTGATACTTCAGTTCCTTCAGATAAAAAAGCTTAATTACTGCTGGACACCGTAAATGAGAGCTCAGAGGGGATTAAATTCCTTTCAAGCTATTCCTTACCTTTGAGAACAAGTACTTACTTTCTAACTTTAATAAATGATTATGTGCTAGTATGTGGGGTTCTGGCCAGACCTATCTTAGGGCATGAAATAAATGCTAATATATGGAGATTCTCTTTCCCCCCAGTCAGTTTATCTTTCTTAGTAGTAAGCCTTGATCTGCAAGAAAACACAAGATAGTACATCAGTGGCAGGTTTTTTTTGGCTAGGCTTGTGTGAATTTGTAAGGATGTTTTCAGTAATTGCTGGTACTGTGGTGAATCAAATGCAGGCTATATTCATGTGTGGTGGAGCTGCCTAAGGGCATGAAGTTGTTGGAGAACTGTTGCAATCATGATATCAAGGGGTCAACAGTATATGGCTAGATCTTCTCGAAAGAGCTCTCTCAGCCCCACCTACCTCACCGGGTCTCTGCTGTGGGGAGGGGGAGGGAAAGGAGATTGTAAGCCGCTCTGAGTCACCTTTGGGTAGTGAAGGACGGGGTATACATCCAGTCTCCTCTTCTTCTTCATCTTCTCCAGAACTTTTTTGTTAAACTGTGTTGAACCTTTGTATGTGTGTTAAGTGCCACCAAGTCGCTTCTAACTTAAAAGTGACCCAGTGAATTAATGACTTCCAAAAACACCCTGTTGTTAACAGTTGTGCTCAGGTCCTGCAAACTGAGGGCCCTTGTGGCTTCCTTGATTGAGTCAATCCATCTCATGTTGGGTCTTCCCCTTTCCCTGCTGCCTTCAACTTTTTCTAGCCTTTTTGTCTTTTCTAGTGAGTCTTGTCTTCTCAACTGATCCTCCAAGAAATTTTGGACTCTGACATTATATACATTATTACAGCTGCCAGACTGGGACTAGCTAGAGTACTGAAGAAAAAGAAATGTCCAAATGTAGAGTGTTCCTGGATAGGGTTCATGTTGTATATGAACATGAGACTGGGTATAACTTGGAAGGAACAGTTATTTTAGCATGATTTCTTGCCGTGTTTTCTTATGTTTGTTTCTATTGTGTAAGTGTAAATTTAAAAACAAACACCTTTAATATTCAGGAATTAACATGGGGAAGCAAGATTGGGCTTGGGGTAAGTTTGTATAGAGCCAGTCTTAAAATAACATGTGTATGGTCTACTCAGATTTCCACATGGAGATTGGGAATAAGGACAAAAGCTTGCGGTTCTACTCCCTACGTCATGTATTGATTACCCATGATTATAAAATATCTGAATGAGGCTTCCACATTTGTCAAGCTATGCCTAGGCTTTGATTGGAGCAACTGCACCCTGTTTATTATTAGATCTCCCAGAGACCTTTGATACAGTTGCTATAATCTTGAAATTGTTGCTGTGAGATGTGGGAATGATAGTTTACCATGATGTTTGAATCAAGGAAACTATGGTTTCCACAAATCATAGTTGGCCTCCAAATCAATGCACTACAAATAGTGATTTCCTACTCTCATGTGGAGGCCCTGTAAAAGGAACGCAGGATACCTTGATCAACTGAAGGAGGCCCTCATCTCAGAGAAAACATTCTTTTCTGGAGAGCAAAGCCATAAATGCCTCAGATTGCAGGCTGAGAAGATATGAGTTTCCTTTATGGAAACAAATAGGCAGGATGGAGATGACCATTTGCCCACCTGCCAGGAAGAAGCAAGATAGATGGCTATTTCAATATTCCATTGGGCAGTAAAGGTTTTGGGACTCACACCTTAATTTCATTGGAGAAAAGGTGCAAAGCGATAGATGTGGGACCCACTCCCAATTTCATGATAGGTTAAAGTAAAACTTTCACAGATGGGTTAGGAAGAGTTAAAAAGTTTGGACACCCTGTCAGAAGTGCACAAGCCAAGGAGCGGGGACCAAGAAGGGAAAACTTGTGACGTTTGTATTGACCAGCTTCTGTTTTTCAAAGTTCCTGCAGGCTTGCGTCCGTTCCAGTAAAGGGAATGCCAAGGTAATACCAGGAAGATGAGGAGGGTATAGGAGTGTACCCTTGTTTTTGTACCATATCTGTAAGCTAAGGACACATAAAAAGGTGTTCTTGCTGGCTGCTCCACAACTGAGGACTCAAGAGGTGCCCTGCTGTATTTATTTATTTATTTAATTAATTTGTACCCCGCCCTACCCCAAAAAATGGGCTCAGGGCGGCTTACAACATAAAACCACGAAACAATTAAAAATAGATGGCAGCAACAGAATAATGACAAAGACCCATGCCTCATGTTAGGTAGGAATATCAGACCAGAGGTCCATTGAGTCCAGTATCATGTTTCACACAGTGGCCATACAGTTGCCCTGGAAGATCAGCAAATTAGAGCATAGAGGCCAAGATGTCCCCCTTGAGGTTGCTTGCGAGCACTGGTATTTAGGCGCTCGCTGCCTCTGGATGTGAAGGTTCCCTTTAGTCATCGTGCCTGGTAGCCATTGATGAACATGTGAGGGATCACTCCCCCATGTGAACTCGAAAGTCTGTTTGTTGTGCTCATTTCCCATGTTTTTTCCTTCCAGGTGAGATTTTTGAGTATTTCTTTTAATAAGCACTTAAAACACAATATTTTTTTCCTCAGAAAATCTGCTGTTTGCTCCAGATAGCGCATTGACTGGAATTTTAAATGTAATAGGAAAGGTGGTTGAGTTCAGTCAAATCATTGGCATATTTGTGATGTTGTCTCACAGGGTACAGAACAAATCCATTCTCAGCTCAAGCATATTCCTTTACCTATAAAAAAAATCCAGA